TTTTTTTTTTTTAAAGATTTTATTTATTTATTTGACAGGGAGAGAGAGAGAGACTGCGAGCTGGAGGAGTGGGAGAGGGAGAAGCAGACTCCCCACTGAGCAGGGAGCCCAACACAGGGCTCAATCCCAGGACCCTGGGATCATGACGTGAGCTGAAGGCAGATGCTTAACCGACTAAGCCACCCAGGCGCCCTGAAAACCTTGCTTTTTTTCAAAAGGATAATTTTGTTTTATGAGAAAGACCATGAATTTTAGAGTCAAATATACCTGATTCAAATACCTATTTTGCCTCTTCCTAGCAAAGTGATCTCAGACAATTTGCGTTACACTTCATCTGTAAAATGGGTATAATACTACTACTTATTGTGCAGATTAAAGTAATAATTTCTACAAGTGCTTAACATATTTTCTAGCAAGCAGTGAATATTTTTTAAAAGTATCTACATTTTAATAGCTTCAAAAGTAAATTCCTCATGTGACAGTAGCCTTTGTACATTTCAGCAGTGAAGTATTATGAATTTAACCACAAAGGAAAGGGCCCAAATTATTTCTGTTTCTTGAGGGACACATCTGGCTTAAAGGATCAGTTCTTTCATTAAGGTCCTATAGGTCAATTTCTTCTGGTTGATGAGAGCTCTTTTATTCTGTGCGGCCTCCTCTCTTTTGATTGATTGCTGTTGGAGCAGAACATGTTAAGATCATGGACACAGCCATGTGTGGTTATGCAGGTTCTGCCCTGCATAGGGGTGACCTGTAAAAGGAACAAATGGGGGTTGAAATCTAGCCTAGTTGTGCATGTTGACTTACAGCTGCATCCATCTAGAGTGAGTACTTTTTCTATTCTCACAGAGACACTGTATGGGCTGACAATGGCCCTGTTTCAATCTCTCTGACAAACTGACATCTAATATCAAATTGAATGTCTTTAGTGACAGGGAACCCATTACCTACCAAAATATTCCATTCCATTTTGTGGCCGCTCAGCTTACTTCCTAATAATCATCCTTTGCTCCCAGTCCCATGGGATCTCATTAGCTGACGGCCCTTGAAATATTTGGCAATAATTAACATGTTCCCCATAGTCTTCCATCTAAGATCATTCTTTTCTAATCAGCTCTAATTCCTTCAGCGACTTCTCCTCTGGCATGCCTTCCTTATTCTCATCATCCTTTTCCTACATGTACCCCTGCTGATTAATAGCCCTCTTGATTATGAAAGCCAGTCCAGAATAGTCCTCTCCATGAGGTCTGAGCAGGATGGAGGTAGGATGACCATCATCTTTGTTTTAGATCTTGTTCTTACAGAAGGGTCAGGGTTGATAGTTTCTAGCAGGTCTTATTTTTTTGTTAATAGGTCATTGGAAACTTAAATTAATACCCAAAATTGAACTGGCCAACTTTCTAGAGCCCCGCCTAAATCTGACCAGAGATATCAAATCCAGCACTAAGATTTTCAGTTTGGGCCAGAACCAAGATAAGGAGAGTTACCACAGTTTGGAAACACATCAATATTGCTTACTCTGTAGTTTGTGGGTGCAAGTGAGATCATGTCAGTTCAGTGGATCTTTGCTGCCATGTGCATAACTGCAAGACCACAGACACCTCTAAGTCCTCTCCCCACCCCTAGTCTCTAGGGAGATTTATTCTTTCGCTCAAGGCCCCTTGTCAAAGCCTTGGAAGTCACTTGAGGGAGACCAGACACTTGAGGGTGCTTAAGTTTCATGGGGTAAAGGAAGAATCCTCTCCCCCACACTCTGCATTGTATTTTGGTCCCTAGGTCCCAAGGCCATATTGTTTATGTCCACACTGCCACAAGTTTCCTCATTAAATAGCCCCTTTGGCTTCTCCCATACCCTTCTCTGTTATACATAGGGAATAGGGATGGCCTGACCCTTCTTTCAGCAAAAAGGAAAAGACACTTACAGATCATCTCATGCAAGTGGATGTCTGGTGTGAGTGTTTCTGGGTTTGTGTATATTTCGCCAAGACATTTACTGTACACCAGTGCACCATAGAGAGGGGAAAATGGCTTAAAATTCTATACAACATTCATTTGTTGTTGAAAATCAGAAGTTTTGAGAAACCATTCAAATACTTCCAAAGTTTGTATGTTTTAATATCTGTCTATGTTTAATAGCTTCTCCTGTTCAAATCATAAAATTATTTTGACCCTTAAGGTGGGGATGTTAAAATAAATTCTGGCTTAAAGGAAAGAAAACTAGCAGACCAAAAAATCCTTGAAATGAGAGTCTGAGAAAAGGAAAATAAATACAGTTGTCACTTAACTTTAGTGACTCTTCCTTAAAAAGTAAAAATTAACCACTTAGCTTATTTTAACTCTTTAAAAAGTAGACCTCCCTAAGAGCGAGCCTTGTTTAAAATAACATGAAAATTGTAAAGAAATCTTTTACATAATTGTATTTTACTAGAACCAGGTACATAGGAAGATGCAGGTTTAAAAAGTGAGTTTCCCTCAAAGGGCTGCAGTTTAGAATCTTCTTTCTCAGTGGTATCTTGCTTCCAAATATGAGACTCACACTGACTTCAAAGAGAGCTTCATGAGCTCAAATATATTGACAGTGGAAGGATAAAAGAGAATTGCCCTATTATAGACAACACATAATTCCTGAAATGTGACTGCCCCTGAAGTGAGGGCCAGTGAGGTAAGATATAAACCCGAGGACAACGAGTTGCAGAGTAGTGGAGGAAGGAAATCAATACAAGTAAAACAAAACAAGACAAAATAAAACACCCCTAGGCAAGCAACTTCACCATCTTCAATTGTC